TGAAACGAATGGACATATACATCCCAAGATGTATGATGCATTGCCAATGTGATTGTCTGCCCAACAAAGCCAGTCAATGGTTAGACATGGTGAGAACAAGATTGAACCAATAAATTATTTAACGCCTTGGGAGGTTGAGGCAGTTGCTGCTGGGCTCTGAACAGGATAAAACAGCTGCTTTCTCCTGCCTTGTATATCAGTTGGATATGGAAATCCTGCTGTAACAGTTAAACATCCATGACCAGAGAGACTAAAAGCAGGATACAGTGCTGCAGCAAACTTTGTATGGACTTTCACTAAAGTAGTTTTGTCTTCAGCATTCAGGAATTCTAAGACACCAGTTTCCCTGTCGAGTAAGACTCCTATTGTTCTAATAGATGTGTTGTACAAAGTCACTGGATTCTGATGACTATTATGTACAAAACACATGCCTACAGTTGGTTCATACTTGACACACCATGATGCAACATTGTAACCTAATGCTCTATTACGAGGTACAGATCCAGTTGCAATACCAACGCTGAAACCACATATTGGCACCATCACTTCCCAATAACATCGTCCTATTGGCAGAGGTCTACTACCAAGTATGCTGAATGATACATCCTGTTGAAAGAGACAATAGAACAATATAAACATACAAATTCATCATTCTTGTACAATATCTCAATGTCATCTGGCTATAACACACAGAACTACAATTTGCTAAATACGTTTCAGCACATACTGGTCTGACACCGCCACAGTGCTTTTTTTCATTGTTCATCTGGTGTACTGTATTAAGAAAATAAAGTGCAAAATATGTAGCTATTGTTTCAGGTCTCTCAGCATTGTTTTACCCGACTGCCACTAACTATGATCAAAGAGTCCCTGTAAATGGGTGTTAACCTCCATGTGTCAGGCAGGGTCGGCATTAAGGGACCGGCGGTAATTTACAAAAATGCCCGATAGAAAAGTGTTTATAACAACACTGTGTGAAGCTTCTATGTTAATAAATATGTGCCACTTTGTTTTTGAAAATGTTTGTTGTTTATAGTGTGGGTGTAAATATGCTTTGGTCATTGTAGAGAGAAATATTCACTAGTTTTAATTTCAGCAGATTTGATGTTGGAGGGATATTCACCAGGTTTTAAAATTCACTGGTTTGTAAAATAATGCATTCTATTGTAAACTTTGCATCACTGGGTTTTAATTTAGCACATTCATCTATAAGCAGAATAAGGGTAAAACATAGTAATAATGTACTCATGAAGTGAGAATGCATGTTTTTGGTGATGAAAAATCCTGGCCAAATTTTTGCTAGGAAGTTTGATTTATACCACATGATGAAAATAACAGCATTACTGCACATCTTTGAGAGATTAAAATTAAACTTGGTTGACATTTAATTGCAATTAATGAGATTCCGCATTTGAAAATGATCAGATAGAAATTGTTTGAATTGTTTCAAAAAGACAATTTTAATTGAAATTGCACCAATATTTGAAAAATTATACACAACACTGGTTAATAAAATACCCAAATTTGAAAAATGTCAAATGCAAACGTAGGTTTTTGTAACCATAAGAAATCAAGTTTGGAACAGACTAGGACAGACAGACACTTCCTCCTTCATGCATCATTTCCTTCAACTATGATACAGGCAAGGTAATAAAACATAATTAGGCCCTGAACAGTACTATGTTAACTTCACTCAACTGTGGCCATCAGTCATGTTTTACAAAACAGATGATAGTATCATTAATGCTGCCTTGTAAACACTAACAATACACAGTAATAAATTCTAAAATAAGCAAATTTATAATTTTTTTTTTGCCTATAACATTTCTATTCAACCATTACCTTAAATGCCAGGACAGGTTGAGGGGTACAGCTACAAGACTTCATTTTCTTGTTGAATTTTAACTTGACTTGTTTTGGATTCAACACTTCCAGAAGCGGATGAGCAGTGCAATCATCAAGGCAAATATCAAGAACTGTGAAAAACAAATCCAAATCATATCAGCAATGTGGATTTCACTACCCTAATAACACAAACTATAATATGATGCAATGAAATCACTTCATATCTGCCTTCAAGCACAGCCCTTATTACTATTACCTGGCACTTTGTTCTGTTTATTTTTGTTCATGTTATATGCAACTTACTTCTCATTTTCTTCCTCATATATCTGTTAATAGTCATTTGAGTTTCATTACATCTATCCCGGCATGCATAATCTTGGTTGCTATAATACTTCATCAGATGAATTCTACAGGCAGGCATCTTCCTTTTAGATTTTGGACCCCAGGCAACATTTGGCCCTTCCAGTTTTCTCTTTAGTTGATTTAACCCAATTACTGATTTCACAGCAGGTGGTTGGGTGTAATTGGTAATTTTATTTACAGCATTCTGCGGTCTGAATGTTGATCTGATAGCAGTACCGACAGGTCTCACAGCTAATTGCTGTCTTACAGTGTTAACAGTAGCAGTATTTGAAAAATTCCTTGGTGCCTGGGCAGTGGTCATTGGCATATAAACAAACTGACGATTAGATCCCATCAATTGTGTAGGTTGTTGAAAAGCCTGGTAATTTGGAACAGTATTGTACACGCCAGTCTGCAGTCGAGATTGTGTGATTCCAGTCGGCACAGCAACTGAGGCTGCATTCATTATCTGCATTTGTTGTGTTCCAGTATTTTGTCTGACAACTTGCAAATTTTGGATGACAGGCTGAGTAACATATTGTATTGATGTACCCGATGTTCCTTGTAATGTTTGCATTCCAGGTCGCTGATATTGTCTAGATAGCAACAATGACTGTCCTGATACTCCAGATCCAAGCATAGCCCCATTCAATATTCCTAGTGAATATGGTGCAACTTGAGTAGTAGTAGTAGTAGCAACCTGGGGTGTGGATGCTAAAGTTCTCACCAGCTTTGCTACTGGTGTACTTGAGATTAGATTACTTGTACCCTGTGTTCCTGTTACAACACTTGATGATACCGATTTAGTTTGTGTACCTGGCGTTTGGCAGAATGATAATAGATTCTCCAGTGTCTTTCGTGTGTCACATTCTAATTCCACATTTGTCTCATCTTTCTTTTCAGAAGCTAGAAAGAAATAACTTGATGTCATTAGATGCAGTTTATTATGGTGAATTTAAGATGAAAATTACACAGCATATAGTTTCACCCAGAAAAAAACTAAAAAGACATTGACTACCGTAAAATCAGTATTAGAAGCCACATCCCTAATAGAAGTCACACCCATTCTTTTTGAATAATTGAGAACAAAAAATTCATCATTTCTCATATGGTAGGTGCTCTAATAGAAGCGGTATCCCTTATGTTGCATTCTACCATTTTAACAGAAGCTGCAGCTTCTAATACAGATTTTACAGTAATTGACATATCAATAAGCACAATATTTTCACTTGAATTATCGATAAATTTATTTATTACTCAGATCAACAAGCAAAAAGCCTAATTAAAAACCTAGAGAACAGTATTATGAATATTTGATCTCAATGTTCAGTCATATTTGATCTCAATGTTCAGTCATATTTGATCTCAATGTTCAGTCATATTTGATCTCAATGTTCATTCAGTCACATGTAGATATATTAGAACAGGTCGACCAAAGGGTTTGCATGCATCAGCTGTATGTTAATTTCAATACATTATGACTGACAAAATGTAGTGATATTATTACGCATATTAATATGGATGCATTAAAAAAAACACCAGTCGATACGTTCAATTCCCAGAAAAAATATGTGCTTATGTAACCCAGTATGCATGATCACTATACAAATAAAATCATTGTCTATAAGAAACAGATTCAGACATGTTTTAATCACTGACAATTCAACAAATTTGATTAAAAAGATTAAACCAGTCAGCCATTTTTGTCTAAATTTAAAAAAAAAAGTTTGAATGAAATCACCCCCAAAATGGTTCAGACACATTTACAGACTTTGACTGAAGCAGTGACTAATTGTTCCACTTTACTTAACAGGTCTTATTAACTCATACAAGTATAGAAACACAATAAAAACAATGTAATGCAATTATTACATGCTCAATCTAAACAAGCAGCCTGTCGGCCGAGATAGCTCCGCTGTTAACAATGCACATTGCAATTAAAGAACAGAAAATGAACAATATGTATAAGTATCAAAGCAACAGGACTTGCTGTTTTCAACAAGAATTCAAAAATATCACTTTTCATCAAAAATAATCATCAAAATTAGATAATTGAAGATATCACCACAAAATTAACAAATCTGAAAAAGGTCCACATGTAGTACCTATATATGTAATACAAGCAGCCTATCGGCTGAGATAGCTCCGCTGTTAGCAATGCACATTTCAATTAAAGAACTGAAGACATCATTAGAAAATGAACAATATGAATAGTATCAAAGCAATCGGACTTACAGTTTTTAACAAGAAGTCAAAAATATCACTTTTTACCAAAAATTACAAAAATATTCACCAAAATAAA